CATACTTGTCAATGTCCCTTCCAAATGGTGGTCCTCAATACTGAAATCATATTGAAAATGAAGGTTGAACAGCATAGAATAAATAAATAGGCTAGTATGAGTAGACTTTAATAATAACTATCTTTAGTGATCTTTAAGAATAGGAGAAATTTCTTTCTTTGAGGAAATAGGTATTTGTTCCAGGAAAACAAAGTGTTAGACTAGGTAACATCTTAAGTTATCTTCCTTGATACCTTAGAAATACTCTTACTTTTGCCCTACAAGATATAAATATCAATAACTAAACCTGAATTTTTCCATTCACTATTGTGATGTTCTTAATTAGTAGCAGTTGCATTTTTAAAACAAATTGGGCATTAGCTTGGTATCAGTTCCTTTCATATTTCACTTTTAAATAATTCAAATTCTACATAAATGAATTCAAGTACCCATTTGGTGCTTGAACCTTCTTGTCAAAGAAAATTTTTTTAAAAAGGGGGGATGGAGATAAAAAAAAATGGGTGTGGCTTAGAGACAGCTTTAAGCAGGATTTAAAAATTTAGCTTGAAAGCTTTTAAAGCTTAATTATATAGGGAGGTGGCAGTGTTTTTATTTGCTGTTTACCTTTGATCTAGTACCTATTTTGGGGAAAGTTGGACATGCTTTTGTGAAAATGTTTATGGGTTCTTCATTTGAGGTCAGGATTCTTGTTTGAAGTTGCTTTGTAATTCAGAGGTTTTTCTCTTTGTAAGTTAATATTTGACTTTTGCTGCCAGATTAATAGCAAGTTAGCCAGGATTTAGGTGACTACTTTTTAATGTATAAGTGATATACTGAATTTTAGAAGTAGTTTTATTGTTTTGGGACAAATTAGACATGTTAAGTATTTAAAAATCTCAATAACACCAACTCATAAGGATAAGAAAGTAAAAATATGCCTATATCTCACTCAATGTTAACATTTTTGTTAAATTGTATTTTACTTTGTGAAATGGGGGTATGTGTATACACATTTAATTTTCTATAAATTGGTTCTTATTATGCATGTTGGTTTTTTATTCAACAATATATTTATTGATATAAAATTATGGCCATAATATATTTTTGGAAATAGCATAGCAAACTTGAAGGAGATCGACATTAAAAATTTTAATACTTTTTGTCAAATTACCATTCAGTAAAGTTGTACCTAATTTATAATCTCATCAATGGTACATGAATGTGTTTATTTTTCAGACTTTCACCAATACTAGTTTTTGACCAGTTTAAAAATATTTTGCCAATATTGTAGGTGAAAATATTTTATTTATATTTCTTTGATTATTAGGGAGAGTGTACGTATTTTATATTATTGGACATTTGCATTTCATTTGTACATTTCCTCTTTATATTCTTTGTGCATTTTTATATTGAAATGTTTGTAGCAATGCATTTTTTTATTTAGTAAGCTAAGGATGTGCAAAAGTTTGATGATCAAATAATCAGAAGCATGTCATCACCATGGTCAGATGTTGTAGTCTGTGGCCCAAGTTGAATTATTGATTGAAAAATCCTTGAAGGGAAAGGACATGGTTATTCATTTGTTTTTTTAAATTTTTAAATTGAGTTATAATTGACGTATAAATTGTATTAATTTTAGACATACAAAATTATTTTATTATTATTTTTTAAAATATAGTTTTTATTTTCGGTAGAATTACAGATATCTCCCATTTCTCCCCCCCCCCACCCCCCCCCCCCACCCCCGCCGCCCTTTACCTCCCTCCTCCTAGCTCCTCCCTACCCCCCAGGTCTTTACTACCCTTTACTAACCAGAGAGGAGGGAGCCCGATTCCTTGAGGGGCCACGCGATTCTGCCTTCAGCCGTGGGTTATGTTATTGCTGGGACACTGTTGGCCCCAAATCTGGTTTACTGCTGAGCTGCAGTGACTGCAGACACCCTTCGAGCCATGGCTCTGCCCCAGGTGCAGCAGGCAGGGAGGGACCACAGGAGGTTGGCTCCAGGCATGTCTGGCCGACACACACAGTCCTGCCCCGCCATCCACCTTGTAATTAATTTCCTTTCAATGTGCATGAATCCATGCACTGGGCCACTAATAAGTATATAAGTTCTTTGGTTTATCTCTTCTTGTCCACCCAACCCCACATCAAGTTATGTCAGTCTGTTCCTTGCCTCCCTGCTTTGGGTCTTATTTTGTTGGTCAGTTCATTTTGTTCATTAGATTCCACAAATAAGTGAGATCTTGTGATTTTTGTCTCTCTCAGATTGGCTTATGTTACTTAGCATAATATTTTTCAGCATTTATTTGCCTGGCTGGCATGGCTCAGAGATTGAGCGTTGACCTGTGAGCCAGGAGGTCACGGTTAGATTCCTGATTGGCATACATGCCTGGGTTGTGGGCTCGATTCCCAGGATGCAGCTGATCAGTGATTCTATCATTGATGTTTCTATAAAGGAGGGAGGTCTTACCCTTTGAGACAGCATGGATTTTATTTATTTTAAAAAACATTTTGTGTTCTTATTGTTCAGTGCAATCTCTACTTGCTGAATGAATGAATGAGTAAAGAGAGGAATGGAACAATCTATGGTCATTGAGTGTTCTGAGGATTCATTTTACTAAACAGATTGTGATTTTCTAGAAGAGATGCTGATTTGCTTTGGCATTTTTTTCCTGTCTTCTTACTTTTGTGCTGCCTTCAGGACCAAAGTGGCTACTTTTATTTTAGAAATATCTTCTTCAGCCTAAACTTTTTTGGTTCTCAAAGAAGTAGTTTGCTTCAAGTTGTGTCTTAACTCCTGTGAGTTGATTCTTATCTCTTTGGGCATCATAATATGTTGCTTGTTTATTTCTAAATTCTCTGCAGGAGGAAGTATGTATTAAATTATTTTTCTCTTTGTTATAATAATGAGCTCTGATTTAGAAAACTTATACTTTTTTAATTGTTTGCTACAAAATTCACCAACAGCGTATATCCTTTGATAATGAAATACAGAGTTGTTTTTATCATATGTAGCAAGACTGCATTGATATGATAAATGAGGTTTGTTGACTTCATATTAATGCATATTAAAATATTATTTGCCCTGAATGTCTGGAATTTAACTTGTTCCAAATTTAAAATATTTTCAGAGTTAGAGATCTTAACTTAAAGACTACAATTATTGAAAGAAAGAAAAAAGAGCTATACTTAGCCACAATGTTTCTGGATGCATTTTATTTTATCCCCCAACATTTAAATGCAAATGAAAGAATGAGATGTATTGTGTATGTTGCATAATTTCAATTCATGCTTTAAAAAAGATTTGCTAGAAGGACAAGGTGTGATTATTTAAAAAACTGTACAAGTACTTAAAGACCCTTTTGGATTCTTCCAGGGTTTAGGCTTTAGATATACATTTTGCTATAGATTTATTTTGTGGATAACTTCAAAGCTATAGTTTATAATTCAGGGTAGGATAAAGTATGAGAAAAGCTTATAACAGAACCAGTATTCTTTGCTGGCTTTGAATGGTACACAGAGTGTGTCCATATAGGGTTGTGTGATGTTCCAGATAAAATTGCTCTCCTGGTTCCTAAGACATCAGAAAGTCATGAGGAGAAGGGTGTAATACCAAAATAAATGAGAGAGCTACCTTCCCTTGGCCAGACTCTCCTGGACTTCTTGCATCTATGGAAGTAGGCATTACAGAGTTGCTGCAAACTGAATTGGGGAAGGCCCAGGCACTATTCCCTAAAAAGAGAAGGAGGTCTGGGTGAAGAAACCTAATGGGTATACTAGCCATTGATACTTAAAGCTGTCTAAATGCCCAGGACAGATTCATTATCTGTTAATCCTGACTTGAAAATACAATAAATTATCTGGGTCACTTAGGCAAAAGCATGTTATAGGAGCTGGGGAAGGGCTGAGTTAGATATTTATTTTGTATCTCAACTTAATTCAGGTGCCAATACCCAATTTATTATGGCCATTTGTGCTATAAGTGCAACATTGGGAGCAGTGATTCCTACAAATGATGTTGATCAAGATTCTTTTTTTTTTTTTTTTCCAGAATGAATTTTTAAAAAAATCTAGTTAGCTAAGGAGGTTAACTAACCTAGATGTTTACTGGCCATATTTTTTTAAAAAAAGCGTTTTGAATCAAACCAATCCCTAGAGTCTAGAAAAGTTTCTGACCTAAATTAGGAACCTAAGCTCCATTATTATTTTCAGTTGAACACTACTTATAGCATCCTCACATTTGGGAAAGAATACGGCCTTTGCAACAAAGTTTCTTTGTTTTCATGAAACTAAAAATGTGCTGTATTTAGACCAAACAATAAAAATAAACTACCAAACTACCTTCTAATGCATGGGGGTTCTGGAGAGAGGAAACCATAGATATTTAGAGGCATAAAGTGACTCATTGTGCTAGTTAAACTTTTTACAAGGCTAGCTCTGTGTGTTTGAGTTGCATCTGTTACCTCTTCGGCCAGAACTAAAGTGTGTGCAAGTAAAAGAATTTTGAATTGAATCGTGGCTCATACAGAATGCATTGTGTATAACCTAAGAGTCTAAATGGGTTCCACACTTTATGTAGAACAAAAACGGCATCCTTTCATGTTTATTCTACCTATAAGGTATTTTTGTTGAACACATCCAAGATATTTTCTGTGAAGCTAATTCATTTTAACTTGCAGACATAAATGAAACATGTTTTTCAAATGTAACTTGTAAGCCTTTATTTCTTTTTATAAAAATATTTCCTTTTGTATTTACTTACACTTTTAAACACAAAGTTTATTACTAACATTATATAAAAAGCTATAATGGATGGAGATTTTGCATTCTTAGCAATAGAATAATGAAATAATTGTTTCTTTTGTTATTGTCATCTTAGAAAAAGTTGTAAGAGTAGATGGGAACAACTGCCTGACTTAAAAATAGTGTGATTTGTAGTCAAATGTATACTTTTTTAAATAAAGCATAAAAAGGCAACTTACCTAATTTTTTAAATTTCATTTTTCTCTCTAAATTTTCAGGTCACTTTCATGAATTCAAAGGCAATTTACCAGTGATTTTGGGTGCTGGGGCTGATTTTTTTTGGCGTATTTGTAAGTATTGGTTTATTTATTACTCTTCTCATTGTGTCATGGAAGTAATAGTTTGTAAACAAGTTCTTAAGTCCTCTATCATGTGAATTTTTATTAGTTTTGTAAGTGTTATTAATTTTTTTGTGTTTTTTTAAGAAGAGTATAGAAAAACATATTAGGGCCCATTACAATACGCTGAAAGAATAGATATCTTACTTTTTGAGATGAGGCTCAACTGTAGGAATGATTTACCTTACAGGGGCTTGTCTAGATACACATGGATAGTTTACCCTGGTAAATTCTTAGTCTTTGATTGTCTGGACATGAAAAGTGCTGTGTGCTTGTGCTCACAGAAAAGAGGTGAGATGATACAGAGTTCAAAGAGCTGCCAGTATAGGAGAAGATCATGTACTAAGGAACCAAAGACTCATTTAGTGAATGTATAATATATATCAAATTGGGGGCCTTCCTTGCTTTCTTCACCATCTCTCAAAACAATATTATATTTTAATGGTATTTTGGAGAACAAAGATACTTTTTCTCAGGAAAGAAGGTAAATATCAAGAAAAAATTTGAATGAACCTGAATGATCAATTAAAGTACTTTAAATTGATGTATACTTATTAATATAGAAGTACTTTAGAGTACGTGGCAGGTATTAAAGATGTCTGTTAAAAAACAGACTATTTGAGTAGAATCTAAAATACATTTATATGTATACTATGTTGTAACCCACGGGCATCTCAAGGGCTGCTTTACATTTGATAACAACAAAGACAGAAACTTTTCCTCTGTTAGTATTCTCTGGTCAAGAACTTTAGAGAATATACTTCTAGGAAAGTATTTTTTTAAAAAGTAACAGTATCAATTAGAGTTTAAGTTATTCAGTATTTAAGCAGAAAGCAGCAAACATTTATTTAAAACCAGCTTGATGCCTGGAGATTAGAAATGGAGGTGGAGTAAGTGGATGATACAAGGACATGCTCCCAGGACCAAACTGGAATTACAACTAAAATAAAAACAGCTTTACGTTTCTCTTAGTAGTATCATTGATTGGAGCTGGCATTTAGAATGAACCTCAGAAAGAAGACACAAATGTTTAATATAGCTTAATACATTTTGTGTGTTCCTCATGTTTTAAGAATAATATGTTATTTTTATGAAACTATCAATTCACATTTTATTTTGAAACTAGTCTTATGTAAAACACAAAATATTAAACTACATGTTCATTTGCATTACATATAAGCTTTTAATTTGTGCAAGGTATCATAGTGAGGATTAGGAGGCAAAGAAGATGGGGAAAAAAATATAAACTATTTTCAAGGGGTTCTGGAGAAAAAGGATGATTCCAAGGGGCTGAGCTGATCTTACTAGAAATCTGAATAAAAGGAAATAATTTCGAGTTTTTCTAATCTTATCTTAGTTGCTTTATCTTTTCTTTTACCTCCTTTCTCTCTTCTGTCATATTATTCAGTCATTTCCTTTTGTAAGTTTTTAAGATGATTAAAATTTTTAAATGGGAAATACAAGATAATTTACTGGCATTTCAAATAAGATCGCCTTTATTGAAATATTCTCTACAGTTGTCATCACCTGAAGGCTCTCTGCTTCCTGAATTCTTTACTCACCCCTCTCCCATCATACACAGACTAACTTTGAATGGAGGTGATCCAAATAGTTGAGATTTTTCTTGTGATTTAACAAAGAGATGCTAAAAATAGAAGATGGGTCTCTGTGGGTATAGTTTTCATATGGTTATTTCTCGAGTTCAACTTCGGATTTTTGTCTTGATTACTTAGACAAAAGTAATGCTAATCATACAGGCCTTAAAGTAATTGTTTTCCAGTTTTGAGAATTTCCATATGCTAGATTAGGGCCTGGGCTTTGTTGTTCCTTTGGTCAGTGGTTTCAGGCTTTGTAAGGGCCCTCTTCTGACTGTGGAACCTTCTCATTAAAGAAATGTAGCAAGATACTATGACTAAGATAAGTCAGATAAAATTAACGTGGGAATGCTTGCGTTCCCATTTCTTTCAGTTATTGTGGAAACTGTCTACCACTTCCACTGAATGATGAGATAGCTAAAACAATAAAAATATTTATCTATTTTTGGCTTAAGAAAAAGCAAATGGGATCAATGACAATGGCTTCTTTTAGGAACTTTAATTTCCATGTCCTAGAACTGCTTATTTGCTACATGATCTAAGGCAGAAAGTTATACCTCATGGCCATGGGAAGGTTTCTTAGTAAGGTGTGCAGAAGCCGGTCTGTGAGATAAGGAAGGTGGGATATTGTTTTGCACATCCATAATGAATGGGCCACACCAAGGGTGTGTGAGAATCAATTGGAATCTTACCTACTCACATCTACTACCTAGGTCAGAAGAGGAAAACACTGAACAAAAGTGGTTATCTTTTCAGAAGCTGAAAGCAACTTATTATAGGTTTTTATCCCCCTCTGTAAAAACTAAAACTAACCTTTTCTTTTCCCAAAGTAGGCATTGTGTGATAGGACCTAGTTTTCCATGTTAATGTCCCACATTTAGTTTTTTATGTCTAATTAAAAAATACTTATGGAATTCTGACCATTTAATTTACCAGAGCAATAAATGATTGATTAAAAACAAAACAAAACAAAACAGAAATAGATAATTAGATAACCTGCTTTTTCAGGTTACCCAACCCTTTTTAGTAATTTGAAAATGAATTCCCTTTTATAAAATGCTATCTCTATTCATGGTCTCTACTAGCAACCTTTTCCCTGAAAAAGGAACAAAAAGTATTTTATTGTCTGGTACAAAAAGTGATTATCGCTTAGCCCATGCTTCAGGAAATAATAACAATATCTTGATTTGGTATGACACTTTTTTTTTTCAGATATTAAATTGGCTTAATTTTGTAAAAACTCTGTGAGGTGAGTAGGAATTATTTTCATTTTTGCAGGACTTAACCTTTTAGTGCTCTTTCCATTATATCAGGTTGTCCTGTCTCAGAGAGTATTTTAACTCTTTCTTTTGTTGTTTTTGATCACTATCTCAGTCTCCATTTGATTGCTATACAAGTATTTTCAGAAAGTTAGGTGGAATAAGTAAGTCAAGGAGGAGGTTGTAGAGAGCTTTCTGCCACTTCACTTTCCTCTGTTTCTGGATCATTTGTTCCTCCCTGACATTGGCCTAACCCCCTATTCCAAAACTGTCACAGGTTGTGCTTCAACTGAAATTTTTGAAGTGCATGAATTTTTAGGAAATTAGCAACTAAAACAAAAAAATCACGAATTCATCTTTATTGTGGTATTTTTAAATGGACAGAAATCTATTTCAAACTGAGCATAGCCCAGTCCAAAGCTCCCTCAGTGAAAACATCTGTGATTTTAAGGACAAGTAGGTCTAAGTGCATTATCTTTAAAAAATATTATTCCAGGCTAATCTTGACATAGAGCAGGTAAATAAAAAAGATGAGCTGTGAAAATCCACAAATAGGGCTTGAATGCCATTTTCCATGACAACGGGCGCTGCCCCATGAAAGCATTAATGCTGGGAATGTAAGGAATTTAAAATTGTGCCTTCTCAGTTTTACAGTTGTGTGCTCATGTTAATTAGAGATATACTGACATTTGAAGTATCTACATTGATACACACAGCTACCATACATTTGTGAACTGTGGCTAGAAATCTACTTTAATTGAAAGCAGTTTGCTAATCTGAATGTGTATATCCATTATATTTTAAGCTTTTTAAAGTTTTATATTCTAGTGCTTAGACACTTGTTCTTTCTGCTTGCTTCATTTTCTGCTTCTAATTTTTACCTGAAAGTGTAGCCTGGCCTATTTTTAATCTCTTAGTTGTGTTTTGGAGCAATATGGATGGAATTTTGAGAAAAAAAAATTTTTAATAGCATTCTTTATTTGCTGTAGTTTGAATCTTTCTTCCCTCTCTGACTTTCTAAATTGTTGGTTTTCCTTGCAAACCTTTAAGATGGCCTGCCACGGAAATAAGGTAGGATTTAGGTTTATGGAATTTGCTTCATTGGCTATATTTAAGCACTAAAAAGCTACTGTTCACTATGGTTTTAGCTGGAAAAGCCCGTATGAGAGACCTTGATGAGATGAACAGTGAAGAGGCATTCTGGTTTTTCTAGTATAACTGAAGTTCATCCTTTTCTCTTGATGTCAAGCTGTGTATCTTAATTTTTGATTTGCAGATAAATCCACAATAGCTTGATGACTTCTTGAGGTCATCTTTAACCCTAGAGGTCTTGCTTTGTCTGTCTTATACTTAAAGGAAGATTTGACATCTCTTTTTTTGAAGGCCCGTATTTCTTAAGAATTTGACTGTCAGGATTTAACCTAATTATTTTCTGTTTGGTGTCTAATGAAACTCCCATACTTACTTTTTGGACCAATCCCTGAATATTATGCAAGACCAATTAGAATGAAGCTTCCTTTTTGTTGTCCCAGAACACACTGCTTTAAAAAGTTCGTAATACTCTGTACTTGTTTCATTAAGCCATTTTATTGGCACCATTAAACCACTGAAACCTGGGACCATTAAAACGTAGTACTATTATTATTATCAAGGCTTATTTTTACCCTTTATTACTTTTTTTTCCACTGTACTAAATTCTTCTGTTTTTATTCTTTCATGTTGCTTACTACATATTGTGCCACCACAGCAAATTTTTGTAATTTTAAGTTAATTGCTCAATTATCAGTGATAGTCATGAAGTACTTGAAACATGCGCAGTGGAAGACTTAAAAATTTCAAAATAAGTTGATGTGTCATAATCTTAAATGTGAAACATGCCAATATCTGCAGGCATAAAAATACACTGCCCGAGCTAGGCATTTCAGGGAACGCAAAAACTGACTCTTAAAATCAGGGCGTTTGTCTGGCACTGAAGTGTATCATCTTCGCTAATTTTAAACAACATGTCTAAATTTGATCTTGGTTTACTTTAAAAACTCCAAAAACTTGGTCATGGCTATAAAAAAAAAAAAAAAAAGGAAGTAAAACTATTGATTCT